GAGGTTGTGCATTTACTACAGCTTGAAATTTGCCAATCGTGAACTTTCCAACACTAAAAAGAAGAACAGAAAATATTTGAAGGTAGCACATCTTTAACCATGTGCACTGGACAATATGCTGTGTTGCGAAAACATTTTACTTTTTGCTGATGGTAATTGAAAACAGGTGAAATCATTAATTAAGATGGTGCTTGCTGAGTAAATCTACATGAGATTGGTGTGTTGCAATTTTGGGTCATGAACTGTAACTTCTGGCAAGTTAGTATGCTCCACCATCAATTGCTTGATACAGATGTGAACAAATATCGTACTCATTACTGTAACCAGCAATCAAAGTTTAATTAATATCAAAGTTACAAATTATAAACCAGTTCTGGTGAAAATGGATTCTACTCGCGCAGTTTACTTAGTTTAGTCCAAAAACGTTTTGGTTAATTAAGAAAAGAAGGCCAATACAAAGACATCACATCCCCTTTCACTGATCAGGTATATAATTTAGTACAAATTGTAGTACGAATTATAAGGATATTCACAGTATAATATGCGCCTAAAATTAAAAAAATTCAACCTACTGCATTCTAAAAACAAGACATGATGCATTTTTCTTCAAGTTAAGTGGAATAGTAGTTGCAATAGTTTCAAACTACACTCAGAAAAACAACATAATGCGTATATATCCATCGGTGCCAAAACAGCACATACAGTTTGCAATGCGTTTAAAATGACAATTTTAGCATCATTCAATAAGCTTTTATTATAATAAAATGAATAATCTACCTTTCTTTTGTACGCCCTGAAAATTTCAATAACATCCACCATAAAATAATGACGATATACCCATTTAAAGTTATGAAATACAAGTTTCGCCATATTAGTTTATAATGTTTTGGACCAGAGTTGGTTGCTTTCAACATGGCAGCCAAGATCCGGAAGTAAAATGTGCCGGCACAAAAACTTCAAAGGTTCCGACTCGAGTGAAGCTTCTGCTCTATTTCTATTTTGTGACATTACTACCTCCGCAGGCCTTTCAAAAATATAAAATTGGTGAGAAACGAACCGAAAGGCCTGCCGACTAATTTTCCAAAATGACGGGACCAACAAACCAAATTATATTTAATATATCATTTTACCAGAACAATAATATAGACCGCTTTTCAAGCAGATAAATATGAAATATCAGTTTATAATTTGCATATTACAAACACGCAGCGCTTTTATGTAACACGTCGTATGTCAGGCATGCAGCCCTTTATCCACGAAATTTATGCCATTTATATTTGTCTTTTATATGTAAGTGTAACTATTTAAATGCGTGTGTAGATAGTCAAAACATCACATTTGGCCAAATGATAGATTCTCAACGTCTATTATCACTGTCGCTTGGGCTTGTAAAACCCTCCATTATTTGAATCTCCTCGTCACTTTTACCAGCTATTACTGCCAAGATGTATTTAGAAAATACTCGCAAAACGGGATTGCTAAAGATTAGCAGACGATGTGCCATATTTTTGAAGAAATATGACCCAACCGAGTAATCGACACCAAAAGCCGACACCTGAGCTCGAAAGAGCCAAATGATACGTAAAAAGTAGCCAAATCCGGCCAAAAGAAGCCAAAATCGAAATTTAGAGTGGGACTGGGGCTAACCTAATTATACGAACTATATACCTATAAAAACAATTGCTAACACATTTATATTTGACATAGTGACTAAGAATTCCAACTTAAACTTTATTTAGTTATCAAGGTAGCAGTAAAGACGTAGGGCGAACGTGTAAGCCCGGGGAAAGGGTACTAATTCCGATCGGATATTTACGTACATCCGGAATCCCGGATAATGTGATCGAACATAGCAGAGTTTTCTGTGTTGGTGTAATGTACTCAGGTGAATACGATGCTTGTGATGTTACTCTGAGTGTATATTCACACTGGGTAAACTTGAAAAATATGTCTTATAACTAACTTTTACTGATGGATGGCAGGCTGTTTTTGAAAAGTTGCTTATTTCAGTATTTATTCAAAAAGAAGCCAAAAAGAGCAAAAAAATAGAAAGAAACCAAACGAAATTTTTAGTAGCCAAACGAAGTCAAAAGAAGCCAAAATCGAGAAATTTGGCTCTTTTAACGCCGAACTGGCAACCCTGGCCGCCTTACAGCAATACAGCTACGCAAGTCTTCGTCTCAAATTTCAAATTTCAACCTGCGAACGGGCATACTCATTACGGGCTGTATGGCCTGCGGAGGAGGTAGGTAACATTACGGTACATTTGCGATAGCAATATATCTGCTTCGCAGGTACAAAAATCAGCAGAACACAAGCAACAAAACGAGATGCTACAGCAAAGATTAGATGGCCTTGAAGATATTAAATTATGGTGAGTGTAAACATAGATTTATTTTAACATCATGATCAACAGGGCAACAGGAACATGAGCCCATTTTAAATATCGGCCAACATCGCACTGAATTCAGACTCGGTTTGCATGTTAGCGAGTGTGGACATTAATTTACAAGACCAGTAGCAAAAAATATGTCTCTTAGAAACCAACTAAAGGTCCCGCGTTATGGGTTGTTTCATTTTGAGTATGATAAAACTGTGTCTATTGTACCGATGAACAAAATAAAAAAGGTTTTGAATGGCAATAAAACTAACAAAGGCAGCATTGTTGAGATAATGTTTGGCAAAGATCCCCTAAAGGCAAAGATCATTGCTGTTCATGGTAAGTGGTATTTTTCTATTTGGATGGTTGTTTTACACTTGTTGTGCATGAAAACTTAAATAATTGTTCGTTCGTCCGATTGGCAAAAGGGAATTTATTTCATTATAAGTATATAATGTATTCCTTTTTGTTGTCAGATAATACACAAATATTAAGGGCAAAAGAAGACGCTTTCGTCAATGATCCCACAAATCAGGAACTATTTACTGATGAAGAGGATAAAACTGACCTGGTGAGCTGAAAATTTGCTGTCTTTAATAAGAACCAGTAAAATATTGCCCAAATTTCTTATTTTGTTCTTATCGGGAACTAAATTCGTTCAAAATTTACAATCAACTACAGGATGGGCCACCGTTTCGTTTCAGGCTTTAAAGCATATACCAAACATAACTTTCTTCATGCTGTATTTGTTTTAAATGCAAAGAAACTACGATATCAGTCGTTTAAATACCTGCTGTATATCCCATACTCTTCCATCTTTAAAAGGTTGTGCAGCTAATGTAAATCAACACGAAAAGTCGAAAGAAAATGGTGAGAGGAAACGCAAAAGAGAGCAGGAAAAGAAAGATAAGGGAGAGAAGAAAGACACAGAAAAGAAAGGAAAACAAGAAGAAAAAGAAACGAGAAAAGAAAGAAAAGCAAAGCCAAGCAAGAAAAGGGAAGAAAGAAAAGGAAAAACAAGAAAAAAGAAACAAGAAAAAAAAGCGAAGAAAGAAAAGGAGAAACAAGAAAAGAAACAGGTGTACGCATTTGCCTTTACAGGACGAATATCTTATGCCAATCTTCACTTGAATAACGTTGAAGGAGCATTTTTCGTTTGATAGTATGTATTTTCTAAGGAATGGACCCATGCGACAGCTTTCGGTTTAAGGAAAAAGTGAATACAATACTAGCAATACAATTGCATTGCTGCAAGATACACTCGTGCCATTGGCATATCTATATAATATCATACTAGCAATACAATTACATTGTTGATATAATACCGTGCCAGTTGCGTACTCCCATTAAATTTTCTCCTTAAAATTCAAACTTTGGGCACTATTTTACAAATTTATGTCAATCAACTTTTCAGCTGTATTTTACCCACTAATCAAGCTACAGTATATAGCCCAAGGAATTCATAGACACTTGAAGCTTGGCAATCCCGTTTAATTATCACATTAGTGATTAATACACATTAATTATTCAACCTGTAATTTCTAATCTTTTTGCTTGTTATGATACAGAATAGTTGACAGTTGTCAAAAGCTGTAACCATAAAATATAAAACAATGGACACTCCGGAAACTGTTAACATTATTTGTCCGCCATTATTTGTCCGCCGTTGCCTGGCCCTAGTGGAAAAACTGTCAGTTCATCCATCTCACCAACGTTCAGTTTAAGTGGTTTATCGTCACCAAGTATTTCTTCGCTGGCTTCATTTGTTTCGATTGGAGACAGCCCAGTAGTAAGACTTCCTCGGTCGCCAGTCCCTCAAAAGAGAATAAAGCTCTCCAGTGCAGCAGGAAGCCTGACTTCCTCTTATACACAGCCGTATGTCCCGCCTTCCTCAAAGGAAATTTAAAAAATATTTTGTATTTGTACGAGAATAGAAAACAAGATCGATCGCCTTACTGAAATAATTATAGAGAACAGCGAGCAGGATGTGGGAAATTTTGATCGTCTTGATGGCGATATAATGACCATACACGACGAAGTCAACTTAGAGACATCGCTGAGTGAAAAGTCCTCTGTGAGTGGGATCTCAGATAATAACCAAGTGCGAATGATCGATGATAATATCCTCCAGCTCAGAAATCAATCTAGTTCTGCTACCAGTTTTGCTGTTAAGCTGGTCAGGCAGATGTTCGAACTGCATGAACTGGTCGGAAAAAATGTTAGCAGCATTCGCAGAAAGAAACTGCTAGATGGGAGCAAAATTGTGAAAATTAAAGAACCTGTGAACCAGTTTTATCCCGCTCCAACTGCTAAAGCACTTGAGACCTGGAAAAACTGTAGAAAAGCGATTGACTCCTTCCTTCAAAAAACACACAGCGTGTCAACATCAACAGCGACAAATAATTCTTGATGCGATACGTTTTATTAAGTATAATACTCACTTGTAGGCATGTCAAATATGATACATGGACTATACAGTGTGAACTTTAACCAAATACTTATTCATACATATATGATATAGAAACAATTTTGTTCAAATATAGTACGTTTATGTGTAGCACTTTTATTGATAAACAACTGAACGTGCAAACAGAATGGTGTTGTCGACTACAACCTTGTTCCGTACATTGTATTCGCTCCCTGCGGGAAAATGGCAAAATACCAATAGCAAACTACTATCAATACCCCCGACATTCATCAGTTCACCCCAGTTTGCTATTTTTCGAGCAGTTCTTTCACACTCTCAATTTAACCAATAAAATATTATGCACTGATTATTTTCGAAAGTGAATTTTGACAATTTTTCACAGTTGCTCTAAAAGCCAGCCATGTTATATGTGATATGTAAGCCATGTGATATGTAAGTCATAGCCATGTGATATGTAAGCATGTTTAATTACTGTTGTTGCTTGCTGATTTTATGTGAATGGTATACACATAAAATTCTAATAAAAATTCATTAGTGCAAGCGCAAAGACGTTATAGTAGTTTATACTAAGTTTAGTTGATCATCTATAAAGCGTGTCAGAAAAATAGTCAAATACATAGACTGATATAAACTTGAATGAAATGACTAGACGAACTGAAGGCACAGACAATTATGAATTTATGTGCAAATTTCATGCTTGGGAATGCATGGCAATGAAACTATCAATGTTGAAATTTGAAATAATTTAGTGACCATATAAACTCTAGTACTCTGGTGTGATGCGAAATTCCTGACTTGCGAAATATCTGACTATTGTAGTACTCAGAATGCAGACGATGCGCATGAATGACTTTGGCTCATAAATTTTGCAACTCAACAGACAACACATGTATTTATAAAGTCATTCTACAATTGATCAACTGAATTGACACTATGCCACTGATTGTGAACATTGGCGTTCAGCGATAATAAAGCTTGAATCGCAAATATGGAAAAAGTCACTCGAAAAGCGCTCTTAGACTTAGTGATATAAAATAGACTCCAGTTTCAAAGGTTATGCTATGTGCTTTACTATAAGCACCAAAAATTGTTTCGCGTTTGACCTTCTCAATTGTCACTATTTCAGTAGCAAGCAGCAACAATGAGTTTGAGTTGGCCGTTTAGATTTGGCGAGCATTCATATTACTTTAATTTGTTGTTTTGCTTGTTTTTAATAAGATTATATACCAGGGTGGATTCCATGTTACTCTCACGCCGGATATACACCATAGCATTTACAATCACACGCCAAGGTCGTTTGCTAATTGTTTTTCTTGGCCGCTGTTGACGCCGAGAGAAAATGGTGGGAAAAAGAAAACCATTCAGTATTGAGCAACTTTAAAACGGTTTAAACTCAGCAAAGTGTTCTTACGTCATGCACATTTGTCAACACTTAATCACTAATTCAATCAGTTACCATGCAAATCAAATAGGTTAAATCAAATAGAATCATGTTAAATCAAACTAAAGTTATGATCACAAACATTCAGGTTCAGAGGACGGCACAATAAAAATCCATACAAAACGAATAGAGTTCAGCGATATTATATCGAAAAACACAGAAAAGTTCAAGTGCATGCGCAATGAAATATAATAAAAATGTCCCACAATTACAGTGTGTAAGATTTGTAACGTAGTTAAATACGAAATTCGTTCTAATTAACGTTGTGTTGAATAGGTCCTAATCAGCGTGAGCGTGTTTTAGCTAAATTGTACAATCCTGAGCCCACAATGCCGCAATGGAAAGTCACACTTGCGTATTGCAACAACCAAAAAACCCCCGAAAAATACAGCATTTTTAGCAAGGGCATTCTATGACACTGGCTGCGGTTTAAATATATTAGTGCAATAGTGGTGAAAAAGTACAACTGTTTTTTTCTATTAATATAATTAATACTATCGTCGTTGAATTTTTGTATTCTGCCGACGTGCTGCAAAAATTTCACGCCAACACACTGAGCCGCTGATGAGCCAACATAGTGACAAAGGGCGAAGTTACGCCAATATGCCGACGAAGATATAACTCCACGCCGGATATCTTCGGCAAAGTATACATGGAATGCACCCTGGATTATATATAAGCTTACTATGCTTTAATATTAATTAAAATTGAAAAATTTGGTCATTGTTTTTATTGCATTTATCACAATACTATCAGAATATTGTGATAATTTTGTTGACAATAATCATGAGATGATTTTTTTAATATCGCCCAACCCTAGTGGATTCTTATGTTAATCTTTCAAAGTTATCTCAATGGCAAACTGGATAGTTTAGTCTGGATATATCGTGCAGCAAGTTAAGGGGTATTCAAGGGAGCACAGCAGTATTGTTTTCGAGACTTTCGTACCTTTATATGGCTGTAAAATCTCTGAATAGGTAGTCTTTGTCTTCTTTGGTTTGCTAATTTGCATATAAACACTAAAACACTGTTTTTAAATTCGTAAACAAGCCAACAATTTCTTTATATTTATATACAGGTACAAAAGTCTCGAAAACAATACTGCTGTGCTCCCTTGGGGTATTACGGCACATCTTTACAAGCAATAGTTTTGGAAAGCCTTTCAAAATATGCATGCAATGTAATATGACTTGTAGAAAATTCATGTTCTTTCACAAGAATATACAAGTAAGTTACTTGTAAAATAATATTTTCAAACTCACCTAACTAAAAGTGCCATTTTAGTGTCATTATCTTTAGTGGGTGCCAGGTTAAAATGCTTTTTTCTCATAGAAAAACAAGATGTTGAGGCAATAAGTGACACCAATATATCAGGTGATGATGATAGTGATATAGAAGAAGATGAGATTATACAAACGAAGAAAAAGAAATCTGGACGGAAGTCATCGTGGAATCCTGAAGATGTAGATGACCTAGTTGATATTGTGGTGAACAGTGATTACTATCAATGAAAGCTCATTTTTATCAATACAAAGTGTCAAAGGAATGCCCAAATTTATGAAGAAATTCTAAAAGAACTGAAACGTAGAGCTTGTGAAAGAGAACTGAGTTAAAGTTCACTGCGAAACAATTAAGAACAAAATTTTAAAAATGTATAAGTGATTGTAAACAAGCTGCACTTATGATGAAGAATGCTTCAGGAATTAAGCGATTCCAGGAAAATCCGTGGGCTTGGAGACTGGTTTAAAGCATTGTTTCCATTACTTAAATCAAGAGATTCGTCCAACCTGATCAGGCCATTGAGCCTGATTGCTCAAAACAGTCTCCCAATTCTGAAGAAATTACCAATTCAGAGACATTAGTTGATCAAGATATATCGAAGGATTTAAAGAGAAAATATGAAAGAAACATTTTCGTTCCAGTGAAGAAAAGTAAGGAGGATTCAAAGAAGAAGATGGATGCTGCTGTTTTGGAATCAATAGGACTTTTAAAAGAAGTTGTGAATAATGATACATGATACTAAAGACATGATTAGCTTCTTACGGGAAGAAATGGATAAATCTCGGGAACATGAGTTGAAACTAATTCAGATGTTGAGTTCTGGAGGAAGTGCTACTCAACAACAGCAACAGCATGCCTTTCAATCAATGCCTAATTCTGGGAATATTGAAAATGGGTCAATTGCAAACTACAGTCAACTGGCATGGAAGTGGAACATTTGCCCATAACATGTTAAGTCAACCAGAAATGCCTCATGCATCATTTGATCCATTCACTCCTTCATCTAACATGCCATCAACTTCAGCTCAAAACTTTTGTGATGGAAAAGTATACCAAAAATTGTAAATTCAATTCGGTTTTATATTTTTGCCAGATAAACTGGAGCATTTAGCAATAGAAATAATTTAAGTGTTCATATTAGTTTTGGATAAGCTTTGTGTTGCAGTCACAGTTGGTTCAATAAACGATTTCCGGGCCATTTTGCGTGGGTAGCAAGTTGAACTTTGAACCCAAGATGGCCGTATAGAATTTCACAATTAGAATTTTATAATTTATACTAACTGATTTTAATGTATCAAATATCCTATGGCATCGTCTTCTTATGAATGGTTTTTTAATTTAATATGAATGTTCAAGCTCTTCAGGATTATCTGACAGTGAGAGGAATATCGGTGAGTGGATACAAAAAAGCAGAATTGATTGCACGAGCATTTTCCGCCACGGAAATGGATCTTCCAATCATTATGAGTTGCAATGAACAAACTAAAGTTTTAAAAAATGACTATGCGAAAAAACTTGATGAGTTTGGTTTACCAGATCTGAAGCTAATCTCAGAGGATCAGAAAATTGATAATTTGACTACCTGGCCACCAGTCACTTTGGGACAAATTTTTCAGTACATACTTAACAAAAGGGAATTCGACACTGAGTATATCGGCAAATACAAGGACCAAAAAGCATACAGCTATTTTGACAGCGGCTTTGTTGGAGAAATACTGACGAATAAGACAGGCCCTTTCATAATTTTACTTTGTAATGTAAGAGCGTCCATGTCTATAAATGAAGAAAAAGATCTTTTGGTTGCAACACAACCTGATGGTAAAGTTCTTACTGCTTGGTGCTCTTGTATGGCAGGTGCCAGTGGATGTTGCAATCATATAATAGCAACATTGTACAAAGTAGAATATGCTAACTCTCAAGGATTTTGTTCTCCTGCTTGCACCTCTATTCCCTGTGGATGGAATAAGTCAACAAAAACTATTATTGAACCTAAAAAGATTGCTGACATTGTTGTCAGAAAAAAAACTAAGGTCAAAACAAGCTACCAGTTCAAATAGGCAAGAAGGTAGGATGGCTGAATTGAATAAGTTTGACCCAGGGAAAAATTGCAACAAAATATGACTAATGAGTGTTTGACACTTTTATTAAATGGAATACAAAAGTCTAATCCAACTGCTGTACTTTTTAAGTCTATCGAGGGAATGTCTATTGATTCAGTGACATGTCATAATTTAACTGTGATAAATATAGCAAATGAGGTCTCAATTGGTTGTCAAGATAAAGATGAAAAGATGACAACACTTATAAAAAAACTTTGTTTCTCTGACAAAGAATACGCAGCTGTTGAGAGATGCACACGAAACCAATCAAACTCTAAGGAATGGATTGAACATCGAAAAGGACGACTTCAAAACACCATGAATATTATACCAAAATTAACACAATAATGAAAACCAGAACTCCTGTCAAACCAAAGACTACTCCATTAGTTTCTAGTTTATTGTGCCAAGACAAAAAGTTGTACAAAGTTGCAGCTGTCCAATGGGGGAAATGCAGAGAAGAAGAAGCACTATGCTCTAGAAGCAACAAAACATATTGACTTCAAGCTTGAGAAAAGTGGACTCTATTTGGACAAAAATAGGGCATACATTGGTGCATCCCCAGATGGAATAATGTACTGCAAATGCCACGGTAAAGCTGTCATTGAAATAAAGTGCCCATTCAGTATAAAGGATAGTAAAATAGCTGATGGATATGGAAAGTGTGACTTTCTGACATTGGAAGATGATTCAATTGTTCTTAAGACAAGTCACAAGTATTACACACAAATTAATTCCCAGATAGCTCTAAGCAATTCTACATGTGGATATTTTGTTGTCTGGACATCCCAAGACATTCTTGTGCAAAACATTGAGTTCAACAAAAATCATTGGGAAGCTGTATCTACAAACTTAGAAATATTTTTTAAAAGTTATGTGGCTGAGAGAATTTTGAGATTGAACCCTATTGAGTTTTGTGGATCATGTGAAAAAGTACTATTTGAAGAAAATGAAATTGCAGAGAATGAACTTGATCTTAGAAGTATTTGTTGTGACCAGTGTAATTGCTGGTATATCACCTGAAGTGTCAAGGGCTTGATGATGTTGTGGATGGAGAATGGTTGTGTTTACTTTGTTTAACAAACATTTCTGTTAATTGAAAGTATACCTGTCACATTTTAGGAACAGTTAATATTTTTAGACTTTTATAATTTTGTATTCTTTTATATTTTAACCCATTGAGTGGCAGCACTCTCCCCCTCGTAATTAAAATCATCTGGCTTTAGACAGAGCAAAATAATAAAGTAGGATACATCTGGGCATTGAGACTTAAAAGTTTAACCTTTACCTTAATCCTAACTCTTACTAATCCTAATCTTAATCCAAACCATAATCCTAATCCAAACCATAATCCAAACCCTAAAAGTCTAAAAATAGTAACTGTTCCTAAATCATGACTTATATGATTAAAATCACTGTAAAACCACTGTAATATTTCTGCATTCCCTTGAATAAAGTCTTGGAAAATTTATGTGCAATTCATGTGCAGGGCCGAATTAATGTCGCGCGAGGCCCGTGGCAGATTTTCAGCGCGAGGCCCCCACCCCCCTTATGAAAACCTTTGAATTCAAAGACACAAAATTGTTAAATAATTGTTTTCAATTTTATCCGCAAATCACCGCAATTTCGCAGCCAAGCTATCCCCACCAGGATTTCTGAATAATTTTCCGTTACGCTAAAACTGGTTTCAAACATCAATGAAACCTTTATATTTTGCTAATTTGGGTGCTTGAACAACCTGAATTAATTGCGACGATTTGTTGGATATACTTGGGTCTTACAACTACATTTTCAGTATCCAACAACAAACATAACAAAACATTAACGATTAACATGGCTAAAAATAGCTAACAAAATGTCATACAAATCAAATGTACATTAGCACAAGCATTGGTGTCTATAATGTAGTCTATAATGAGTCAGTCCGAAGATGACCTGTAAACGTTATGCCTACGCGATTTCTTCATTGCGAAATCATTAATAAGCGATGAAACAGAAAGGTTTCGCAGAAGTTTGGCTTCCATACTGAGAAGCGCGAGGCTGTTCAGCCGCTTCTGCCCCATGCAAGATCGAATTTCGCTTTTAAGCAGCTTAAGCTTAGAGAACGACCTTTCGCCAGAACAGTTCGAGATCATCAAACTTAAATACATACGAAATAAGATTACAGTATTAGGAAATACTGTCTCCAGGTTGTTCGCAACAATTAGGCGGTAAAGGTGCAATTCCATCGACTCCACGCCCAGTAAGACATCGTCGTCATCTTTCGTGACCACAGCCACCGACTCGGTTTCTTCACTATCAGATTCATCAGAGGATGGTCTCACTCAGAGGAATGGCCACTGAAGAAGTGGCAGGGACTGTTGGAGAAGCAGTTGCTTCTAACGATTTCTTGGCAAAATCTGTGTTCAGAAAACTTGAAAATTGCAATAGTTCGTCAGACAGGCTGTCTTCGAGATCTGCGGGGTATGCGTTTTGCAGATTTATTGCGCATTCGGTCACTTGCTCGTTTGGCAAGTCCTTGAGCGTTCGCAAGAAGCCAAACTGAATACGCACCCAGTCGTTTCTGCAATTCACTGGCGATGCTGACTACAATTACCAGAAACGTTCCTGTACGAAACTTGTCGACCGGAGTCTGCGGCCGTTCAGGCGCTGCTTCTGGATCATCGTAACGGCAATTACGTTGACGCACTCGTTGGACTTCTTCCTTGTAATGGTCACATTTACTCAGTACCTTTCCTTTGCTTTCGAACTCTTCGAATCTGGTCCACAGCTAGTATGCCCGTTTCCAGGTGGTTCATTTTGTCGACATAAAACCACTGGCTTCTTCCCGGGCGTCAGCTTTCTGTTCAACGTCGTCAGCAAGTTCCGCCAAGGCATCGCAAATTTCATCATATCCGTCCACTAGTGCTTTTGTCGCATCTGCGCGTGCGGACCAGCGAGTATCAGACATGCGTTTGAGAGTTGGAAGGCTTATGCTTTCAAGTTTATCATTTAGAACTTTCCAGCGATGCATTGAAGCAGAAAAAAAGGAATACAATCCTTGAAGAAATTTGAAGAAGGCAATGGCTGCCAGACAGCAACCTGCTGCAGATTGACCAACCAAGTTAAGAGAATGTGCAGCGCAGGGTACATAATGAGCCATCTCACAATGTTGTCGGATAATGGCCTGCATGCCATTATACTTACCACTCATGTTGCTCGCGTTGTCATATGACTGACCTCGGCAGTTTGTTATACCAATGCCATGTGTTCTCAAGAATTTAAGCAAGCTTTCCGCTAGTTCCCGCCCACTGTGACCTTGCATGTCCAGGAAGGTAACAAACCGTTCAACAGGACCCGATGGCAAAACGTACCGTAGAATGAAGGTGAGCTGATCAACGTGAGATACATCTGGGGTTGAATCTACAGAAACCGAGAAATATTTTGCCGACTTCACTTCCAAAATAATGTGATCGAGCACACGATTTCCCATCAAATCGATTAATTCTTCACAATTTGTCTTAGACAGATACGATGTGTGACCCCGTTCCCTTGTTTGCGTGTAACTTAATATGCTGCACAAGAAAGGGATTGAACTTCGCCACCAGTTCCCATACGCCCAAGTAGTTTCCGTTTTTGGCTGAACCGACAACTTCATCTGAGCCACGAAATGCTAAGCCACGCTCGCCCAGTAAGCAAATAGTTTCGACCGCCTGCTCTAGGACTGAGCACCAATACTCGCGCTCTGTCTTCGTCTGTTTGACTAGTTCTGCATCAACACGAGAATTTGCATCACTGCGTTGTAGTAGCTGAACCATGGCTTGTCGGTGATTTGAACTTCTCTCATGGCGTGAAATTTGTTGAGAAGCGTGTTTCCAGTCAGTGCATCCCTGCTTTCCAAAAACGAAGACATCTGTCATCAGTTTGCATGCAAAACAGTACAGTGCATGTTGGGATGGTGAGTAACAGAGCCAAGTGCGAAGATGTTGCTCCTTCGTGAGTTGGTGCGTATACGTGAACATACTTTTCTGGCACTGTCGCTTGTATTTATCTCCTTCGAGTAGTGTAGACGTAGCACTAAAATCTGCGTCCGAATTACTGCAGTCACTACTTCCTTTCGTTGCCCAGTATTCTCTCATACTGTTCGAAATGTTATCAGGCCACAATCCTAAATCACACGAATGGGGATCGGAAGGATCATTAGATGATGCAGGTGTCTCTGTTGCCGGTATTGTCTCAGACACAGTTGTGCTTGATGCACTAGTGCTTTCATCATGATGCTGATTGCACATCCGCAAGTACATCTACAGAGATACTGCTACTACTGGCGTCCAAGTCGCTAGTCTCACCGCTTGGAGTTGGAGCGCTGCTATTGGAACTAAACAGTGTTGAGATTTTGGGTACTTTGCTCAATAGGTTGCGTTCCCGTGCGGCACGGGACGTGTTTACGATTCTTGTCTCGTTCTCGACCGCCACTTGCAGAACTCATTGCCCACTCTACTGTAGCAAGGCCCCAGACAGGCTTCTCTACTTGCTGATATAAAACTGCCCTAAGAAACCATTCAAAAAGAAAATTTTTATATTAACATGACAGCTTTAAAATTTAGTACCGTAATTCAAAAACGATCAAGTCATTTGTCAGTTGTGTTCTGCACAGAAACACCAAGATTCATAATGCAAGATCCTTGTTTAGCTTACTTATAACTGTGTTATCACTTAGCTATAGGCCTTTCAAGTTTTCCTGTACACATGATGGGATGTTTCACTACCTTGCTCATCTTTACAGGGATTCAAACATTACTAAGTTCAAAAAATGGTACTCAGATCATGATATTGTAACAGTTTGGCTGCCCCTGGCTGATGATAATTTCCTACCACTCATCCATCACCAGAGTAGGGCGAGCTCTTTTTCTCACCCACCTACCTGGTAATAAAGTGCACATGACATGAATTTTTTGCCTTAATTTTACTGCTCTACTAGAAAGTACCCTTCAAGTGATGAAAAATGGTGGTTATAGTTTTTTCAAATCTCATCTCAATCCAGAGTTATTACAGTTTTTGTAATTTGAGCTATGATGTCATAAGCTGTGCTAAAAGTTGCAGGTAAAACTTAAAGTGGAATATCTCCAAGAGGATTTGAGCAAATGAAATGAAACTTTGCACAGTTGTTTGCACAATTTGCACAGTTGATAGTATTAAAAAACTGTCCAGAATTTCCATAGGGATGGGGAAACAAGTTGTCAGGGACAGTTAGAAAAATCCAGAGGGATGGGGGTTCATAAAGTAAATCTCTTCCATTGGGGGGGGGGGTATTGCCTAGAACTACACATTGAAATACTTACTCTGGTTCACTCTATTTCCCTTTGGTATACAGAGTGGTATAATTTTGGCAGCCTTTTATTTGGGTTTTGTAACTTAAACCAGCAAGTTTTAACACCCAATGGTTCAAACACCCAATATCAAATGCTGGATGCTCAGTTAAGCAGCGGTCATGCATGTTTTCTTCCAGCATTTTTTCCTTACAAGGTTCACATAAACAACGACATTCATTGGGTTTTACCACAAAGGCCTTGACACAGTTGCCATATTTACACCTATGGACCATTAATATATATTGAAGTATACAATTGAAGTATATTTCCCACAACTTTGTGTAAATTAATGTTTTCTTACGTGAGTAGGATTTCCAATTTGGCAACACAGTCATCTTTAAGTCATCTCTCAATGAAGACGTTTCGTGCAATAACGGAAGTGACAATAACATTTTATAAGGAGATCAGTAACCATTTGTTTTGTTTTACATGGCCATCACATGTTTGTTTTATGTCACAAATATAACCAAAACGTAAATAAATACAATCCAAAACGTACCAGGTGTCAGTTGAGGTTTCACCAGACAATCTAGCAGACAGTGTTTGCTGCTTTTGCTCTCTCTCAGTTATAGTACTCTTCATGTATTATGTTTCTCCAGTGCCAAGAGGTTCAACTGAAGTATCATAGGCCTCGCACAAATCCACACTTTTCTCCATATTTATATCACCCCCGCTATCATAAGAAACGTCTTTGGCAAAAGAGAGTTCGCAAGCTGATTGTGTTGCAAAATTGGAGCTGTAGCTTTCGTCAGAAGACATAATTTTGAACAAAAAACAGGCTAGTATAAGCCTTTGATAATATTAATTTCTCCTTCGGGAAAGAAGCGTGTTGAGTAAATGACGTCACATCCGCCTAAGAATTCGACATCTAACTCAGTAATAGCGGCCGAAAAATTTGCATGTTTGCGTTGAAAAAAAAGGTAGAAAGAAATGGAATTGGACGCTGATATTTGGTAACTTTGTTTATCTACTGATATACTTTCTGAATATACAATAAAAAAGACAGCACAATTTTCCATCATACTGCCCCCTTTAATAATATTTGTTTTCCCTGCTCTTGAGGTCACAAATTTATTCTCACATAAATTAGCATTTTTTCAAGATGGCCGGCGAACGACTGTCGAAAGTTTTATAATATTTCTGAACAACTAAACGCGATAGACAAGTGAAAATACGTAATTAAGTATTCCGAAGGTATGTTTAATAGATATCGAGAGTGAAAAATGTATTGCCATTGTCCTTTAAGCCCTGCTTTTTTTACTTGAAAACAACTAGTAAACGTATTAAAAGTGTCGTTGATATCTGCATAATTTTTTAAGCATCGCCCCAAACTTCACTCACAAACGTAATAAAATCGCTATTATTAAAAAAAATTATCAATAACATTGATCTACCTTGCTGAGAATGAAAGACCAGTTGAAATGAAAGGACAGTTTAAGTGAAAGACCACGATAAAAAGACACAATAAACCAACAAAATTATGTCTGGAAATCCGAATTCAGCAATAGCAGAGGAGAGACAGTGAGGACTATACCGGCATGCAACGCGGTCAGACGCGGTTTATTATATATTAAGCCTGGGGCAAACTAGGAAACATTGTTGCGGAAACATTTGTGATTCTCGATGTTTCCTCAAATGTTTCCATGTTTGCCCAGGGCTTAAGGCCCTGCATATATCTGCGGTATGTCGCCTGGCTATTGTCGTTAGCCGAGTTCAACCAAATAATTCACAAAAAAATATATGCATCAACAGCTGCAAACAATGATAGCGCAGGCATACCGCAGGCGTATATGTGAACCAAGCTTTACCTATGTGTATTACATATTATCGCTCTGCGCCGTCATTGTTCGGTCGGCTTTCGCTGCGTTTGCACCTCGAGTTTTTGAGAGGTTCAGAAATAGTCTAACACCTGAATAGGAGGAGGTAGGTACTCTTCGAGTTAAGCCCTTTTCGAGTTAAGCCCCGACCACTCCCAAACCACACCCATGTTCGCCAAGGGGTTAACTCGAAGAAAGAAACACAACTTGGAAAGTTGGAGTTAAGCCCCGTGAAAAAAAGAGGGGCTTAACTCGAAGTCATTGAAAATATTCGACGCTCGAGGCCCCGAAATTTGAGGCATGTAAAAGAGCAATGATTTGAGTCGTCCACAATCGAGCTAGAAATAGTTATCAGAAGTCTCGGCCTAAATAAGCTGCAGCCTAAATGAGTCACGAACAACTCGTATAAACAGTCAATTTTCATTAAGTAACAGAATAGTCCAAACATTTAGTTGCACTTGAGGGGTGAATATTTTCACGAAACGTTTGTTCACCACCACAGGCACGGAGAAGAGATATCAAGCCCGTAGCTGGCTCTCAATTTCTGGGGGGGCACTGCAGAAAGAATGTAACAGAGGGGTTGGGATGAGGGCCTGAAATTTTTTTTTTCTGACGACCTCCCCCCTCATACCCCGCCCCCGTCGACAACTTTTTAGGTAAAAAAATTTTCCGGACAACTACGTTGCAATTGCTTTCCAGGTACTTTATCTCAATTTTTCATATCAAATTTCGGTACTTAGCCCCCCCAAAAAATAACACTAATAGCTATTAGTTCTGCAAAACGTAAGGGGGGGGGGGCATAATTTCGATTTTATTTCCGAGTGGGGGCAGCTGCTGTGGCTGAATGCCATCTCCCTGGCCCCTCAGCTACGGGCCTGAGAGATATACTCATATACAGACTATTACAGAGAGGAAACTCGCAGCAAATTATGTCACGCCGATATATTTAGTCTATTAACTATATAAAATTATATTAATTCACTATTTTATCAAATTTTGATAATGCAGAAGAATAAAACTATACATATTATAGAAGTATTCATGTTTTTTCTTATGCAAGAGTTATTTTGAAGAATTTATATCATTCGCTGCTTTGTTATTTATACATGAGCAACTGAAATTCCTATAGCCAATCCATTTCACGATTTTAATAAGGAGTAGATAGGGGAAAAACAAACTTTTGCAAAATAAAATGTTATGTTAACACTTCTAATAAAAGGAAATGAATAAAAGTGATCGCTTACCGTTATTTTTTATACAATAATTCGTTGAACAAAATTTCCACTGGATATCTCATTTTTTTAAAAAAGCGATTTTCATCTTTCGAACGGCGTTTTTCCTATCTTTTGCTTGAAATTTCAGCGACGGCACTGGCTGGGAAATTTTGCGTGGCGCGTGGAAGGCGTGACACAAAAATTGAGGTTATCCAGAGTGAGTTTCCTCTCTGTATATCTCTCCTCTGTGCCACAGGCAATCAAGGTGGATGTGTACTGCACACAACAACTGAGCACGACCACAATACAACGCGCTAGAAAAATTTCACTGTGGTTTGAGTACTTTCTTTCCATTCGGTTTGTCTCCTCCTCTCCTGCATGCTACTTTGCGGTCACGGATAGCAGGTTTGCGCACTAATGTCAATGAGCGTGGTAGACACGAGGTCCAGTGTAGGTAGTATTCTACAATAAGCTGTCGTGTTATTCTACTCATTATCTATGTTAGTCAACGTTTATTCATAAATCTGGTCCTTCAGTTCCTTCACTGTTACGTGCGTACCGTAAACCTTCGAATATAAGCCCCCCTGAATATAAGCCCCCCAAAAAAGTATAAGCCCCCCCTCGAATATTAGTCTCCGGAATATAAGCACAGTAGCCCACTATGTTATTCAACATTGACATTGTCTTTTAGTATAGCAGAGAATGATATTTAAAAACATTTTCATTGTCTTTATAGCTTACTATGTTAATCAAAGCGCGTTATTGATACATGTTTATTTTCCTGTTTATGACTGACTTATTTATTACTAACACAAAAGATCGTCCACTGATGCATAAGCCTCCCGTATATAAGCCCCCCCCCCTTGTATAGGCCCATCAAAAATCGCTTACAAAAGAATATAAACCAAGGCTGGCCCAGGTAAGGGCTTATAGTCGGAGGTTTACGGTATTCTATTTTTGCCCAACTAACCAATAACAATTAATGGCCGTATTTGGAAGCCTCACATATCGATTTTGTCCATGAGAAACGTCATATGTTCGTTTCTCTGCCCCCCCCCCCTAGAAACGTCACACATAGGTATCGATATTTTGTTCTTATTGTACACATAAGCTAATTTTCTACTATTTTCTACAATTCTACGGTCGGCTTTGGCGATGCTTCCGCGAGGAATATTTTATCTTCTGCTGACATATGTTTTTTATTAATATACATGAACTTCAAAATTTCCAACGTTTCTTCAAATTTCTTTTTTTGCATGAAATATTAACAATTTTAGCGCATTTTTCTTGAACTGATTTGAGTGTTTTCAATGCAAGGAAGGCGTAATAAGTGTATAGAACAGGTAAGGCAGTGCGATTGTATACACTGGTGTTTGTATCATGTTGTTTTCTTTTTTATATTCTGCAATGATGATTCCGAAATGTTAAGGCTTTCAAGAAAACTATCGAATTTTTCCATGATGTTTTACAGAGAAACGTCACAGCTGCAATCCCTGACCCAATCCCTAACCCAGAGCCCTAACCTCTTAACCACTTAAGCCCCGCTTACACTACGCTCAATTTTTGGTACGGCACGGATAAAATTGGTACCCATACCACTTTTTTGGTTCTTGGACTACCTATTTAGGTAGTCCAAGAACCAAAAAGTGGTACGGTGCCAAAAACTGAGCGTAGTGTAAACGGGGCTTAGCTAAATAGGTAGTCCAAAAACAAAAAAAGTGGTACGGGTATATACCAATTTTATCCGTGCCGTACCAAAAATTGAGCGTAGTGTAAACGGGGCTTAATATTTCGTGACTGCGTCGTCTGCGTGACATGAAAATGAAACCAAAAAAATGGAAGCCCATCTCATCTTTCACGGCCGTTTAATCAAGCTAACTTAAATCACAGTCATGATACACGAGGTCATGACTACAATTTTGTTATCCCTAAAGTAAACCAAACACCATTTTTTGAAAATAAGGCCTCGTTTACACTACGCTCAATTTTTGGTACGGCACGGATAAAATTGGTACCCGTATCACTTTTTTGGTTCTTGGATTACCTATTTAGCATAATGGTTTCGAATATAATGGAGCAGTGGTATGAAATTCAATACGAATTGAAATTAGGAATTCCACCTCACTAAAAATATTCAAAAATAAACTGTAGATAATAATTTGTTATTATGTATATATAACTGTAATTTCTCATTTTCTTGTAAATGTTGTAAATAATTCAAGAAGAATAATCTCGGTGTTTGGATGACAGGCCTCCGTGCTTAAATAACTAGTTCATTCACTCAAGTCACAAATCGTTTCGTTCGAGGCCAAGTCAAGTGACAAGTTGTTTATCTGTTGTTAATCTGATTCACAAGTCACAAGTCATAAAAATGGCGACTCGAGTCCAAGTGACACGAATAGAGTCTATAACTCTGGATTTATCACCATATTTTATCAACGCCGATTTCCAAACGAAAAAATTTGGGTCACATGACTACTCGATCTTGTAATTTGATACAAGACAAATCTGATACGAATGCAAATTTTAAATATGAAAGCTTGAGCTTGTACAGCATTTCTTGGAAAATTAACCAACTTTAAACTAGCTAATATGCGTTCTACCCGAGGTAGTACCGTATTACGTTTGTATGAACCTAGCTGTCCACCTTGCTACCCGAAACCGATCGGTGGTATAAGTAAAATTATTTAAAATTCAAAGTTGCATAAAAGAGGATTTTAGCTTTCCCCAAATGCTTTCACGATGATGGTCAAGTTGGATTTATCAGAGTGAGAAAATAGCGTAGGCTTGTATCTGGTGGTAAATTTATACAATTCTGAGTGTTAACATTACTGAAATTGATCATCATTTTCTGAAACCTATATATACCCATTGTTTCGTCAATTCAATATTGATACTAATTGACTGTAAGTCACGAAGATGACATCGATACAATTATGGCTAATTATACTTTCGCAATTTATAAACCTTCTCAAAATTATTTAAATTCATTGCCAATACGTAATAATTCGTTGGGTTATACACAACATTCTTTTACAAATAATGACATCTTGTATGAAACTCTATTCGACGGCTCGATGCTCTCTGAGAAATTCTAGAATTTCTCACACTAGATACAAGAAGTCAGCTGATCCACCAGACTAAATAGAAGATAAGACAATGTTTTCCTTCGCGTATTATGAACGACAACATTGAGATTTAGCAAAGGTGATACTGCATGAAAGAGGTCATTGATACTACACAAAACTACACGCGTAAAAACGCACAGATTGTTACAGGTCTGCAAACAAGTTGTTACAAATCTGTTCACAAGCTATCGACAGCTGTCGTTGTAACAAGTTTGGAGCAAGGTGTTAAGAACTTGTAACAAGCTTGATGGCATTATCAGATTTGTTACAAGGTTGCTCTAACAAGTCTGCATACAATCATGATATAACAAGAATGTTACAAAGTTGACGACACAAGGTTGTAACAATATTGTGATATCATAACTGTTATGAATAGTAATTCTGCGATAAATTTGACCTTTTCTTCGATAATATACACACAAAACATTTTATTGTACACAAAATACGAAAAACAATACACTAACTGGCAAAAAATGTTCACGTGATACGTCACAGTGATCAAATTGTTCACGTGCGTTCCAAAGTTGCGTAATCCTTATAATAACAATGAATAATAACAATGAATCTTTATAACACTCCCCAACGTTGAGTCACTGTACAAGTGATCAACAATACTCCCCAATGTTGACAATAATCGATAAAATATGAATATATACATTACTGTAATTACGTTAAGTTTTCTTAAGTTTTCAGATATGTTTCAGTTGTTCGGCTCTTTTAAGCTCTCCGATGACCGCCGCCATACGACGTGGACGAGTATTTAACGATACAGGCGGTTCGCTAATTGTTGCTTCCGATTTATTCTTGACCTCGCTAAGCGGTTGCTTCACTTCGATTGGAATCAGGTGACTAATCGATCTTCGGGGAAGTTGCGCTTTGTCACTTTTGCCACCTAACAGTTCTAGGCGAGGAATTGTTTGTCCCTTTAACGGCGCCACCTTCGATTTTGAAGCTACGAGTCTTACTTCGATGTTTCCACTTGGTTAGAAGTCCATGTTTGAGTTCGTCGTCCCATTCACTTCCTTCGACACACAATTCTTGAAATAATGCTTTCATCTTGATGACAAATGGTGTTAGAAATCCAACAGGATCAAAGATTTTCGAAGTAACCTTTAGCACAGAGCGTTTCGTCGCAGGCAAGGAACGAGCATATTGAACCAAACTCGAAAATTCAAACATAAACGTGTCATTCTCAGTGTCCCAAAGGACCCCAAGTACCTTGACGCATTTATCCTTTGTCACAGTGGTTTCTTGACCGATTGTTGTTTTAGTGTAGGACTCGGTTTCTTCCATTACGATTGGGGACGAGGGTTCTTTAATCACGGCTGGGGACGAGGGTACTTCGATCATGGCTGGGGACGACGGTACTTCGATCACGACTTTGGACGAGGGTACTTCGATCAGGGCTGGGGACGAGGGTTCTTCGATCGTGGCTGGGGACGAGGGTTCTTCGATCACGACTTGGGACGAGGGTACTTCTATCAGGGCTGGGGACGAGGGTACTATGGCTGGGAACGAGGGTTCTTCGATCGTGGCTGGGGACGAGGGTTCTTCGATCACGACTTGGGACGAGGGTACTTCGATCAGGGCTGGGGACGAGGGTACTATGGCTGGGGACGAGGGTTGTTCGATCGTGGCTGGGGACGAGGGTACTTCGATCATGGCTGGGGACGAGGGTTTGTTGTTTGAATCGATGTTACTCTCTGCCTGGGTTATAGTTTCAACAACAGTATTCGAATTGGAAGCCCACTTACGTAAATTGAAACCACCAGCTAGCATGATGCCTTTGGTGCCCTTGTAAATATTTAATGCTTCATCATCACTCGGAGCCCCAGAAACTAAATCATCGACATACAGGCCATTCTTTAATACTTTGACTGCATCAGGATTCTCGTCTTCATATAAATTCAAGTGATGATTAATCGTAGCTCCCAACATAGCAGGCGATGGTCTTAATCCAAAGACTAATCTGGTAAATCGAAATTCGATGATTTCTGGAATCGGTTCCTGAATGTTCTTAACCCAAAGAAAACGTAGCATGTCCCAGTCCACATGATCTATGCCCACCATTAAGAATGCCTTTTCTATATCTGCAACCAATCCAACTGCATGGGATCTGAACTTCACGAGTATGTTGAATAAATGAGGAATATTGTTAGGACCAATATATAGGCAATCGTTGAGTGAATAGTTCCGTTCTTTAGTAGTAGCAGAACCGTCGTATACTACACGTAATTTCGTAGTGGATTTATCTTCACGCACAACAGCGTGATGTGGGAGATAATGTACATTATCGTTGTCTTGGTTACTGCTTGTGCTTCCATTCACACGAGGTACTTCCTCAATGATTCCCAATTCTATTTGATCTTTGATGCTCTTATCGTATTCTTGAAGTAGTTCCGGTTGTTTCTTTAGTTTGCTGTACAACGAACGCAGTCGGTTGTAACATAAATCATAGTCGTTGTCTAGCATAGGACGCTCTTCTTTCCATGGAAGTCCCACTTTGTAACGCTCACCTGTAAATTGGATGTTTTGCAGAAATTTGTCATCTTGGTGGGAATCTTGTTTGTTATCAATGATCCCAATGGATTCAGTGTCCCAGAATCGTTTTAGTGAATCAACAATTTCATCGTTTCGATTTGGAATGGCAGAATTCTGGCATGGATCACCAGCTAAAATGAGGTTGGACATGCTGGAATGGTTGTTGGATGAAGATTGAGTTGTGCGACCCGACAATAACCAACCTAGCTTACTGCTAATGGCTGTGGGCCCACCTTCACCTCGAACAATGTCTCCCGTTATAAAATCCCAGTAGTGGCTTACTGTCTTCGTTGTAGTCTGCTAGTTCCAGTCCCCTTAAGTGTGCATAACTTGTGTTAACCCTTGTTCGTACAGGAGAACAAATAGTGGGGAAATTAATGGCAGAAATTTCGACGCTATCTCGATCGGTTCTACTTTCTAAAGTAAGCTTATATACATCACAACCTTTCGCTTAAATTTGTTGTCGCCAAACGTATTCAAATTAAGTGTATACCCTCGATGTGGGCTTTAAATTCAACCGTCTCTGAACTGAATTAGTGATGTAGGTCCGCTGACTTCCAGTGTCAAATAGTACTCGCACTGGTACTGATTTCTCACCATTTGTCGCAACAGCCCGAGCTGTTTGTAATAAAACAGTTCCCTGAGATACTCGTGTGGCAGTCACTGTCAAATTCGAATTTACTTCCGGTTGATTATCTTCATGTTTAGTCGCTTCGTTATTTTTTTGCTTATCGATTCGAGCGCAGATAGACTGATGATGTCTACCTGAGCAATGACGGCATCTTCTCTGGTTGGTACAATCTCGGGCATGGTGACCTTTATACAAACAATTAAAACAGCGACCAGATTCTCCTAAAATTTTCTTACGTGCTTCAGAACTAATAACCTTGTCACATGAAGCCGAATAATGACTCCCTTCACAATAAACACATTGTATTTTGAAACTACCACCGTCCTTTGTTTTGGTTACTAAACTACTAGCAGTAGGGGGGTTATATCCCTTTGCTGAACCTTGCGATTTCGGAAATTTATGTGAACTGTTCTCAGTTGCCTTGGTTGCCTCGCTAGCTTCACGCGCCTCAATTTCGATTTTGATTGTTTGAAGTAGTTCATCGATTACCCAAACATCCTTAGTTGACTTTCGAGCAATTTGTAATCTAACATCGCTTGGCATTTTTGACATGATTATGGGTATTAATAAACTTCCATATTGCTCTGAAGAGATACCCAAGGAAGCCAAGCCGCGTACATGCACACTGATCTTGTCGTATACAAATCTTAAAGCAGATAACTTATCGCTAGTGCAAGCTTGGATCTTGAGTATTTCGTCCATGTGTGCTGTTACAATTTGTTGCGGCTTACCGAAACGATCCTTGAGAATTTGGATGGCAGACTCATAATTAGCATTTGTTAATGTAAGTCCTTGTATAGCTCGTAATGCGGGACCCTCTAAGAGAGAGTTCAGGTAATTGAATTTGTCAATGGTTGAAATATCATTGTTTGTATGTATTGCTGATTCATATGAATCCCAAAATGTACTCCACATTGTCACTTGACCTCTAAATTTTGGTAATGTCAGCTTTGGTAGTTTTGGTTTTGATGACATGGTTGTATTTGAATAATGTGACGATGTGTTTACATTATGATCCCCTTGTAATTGACTTGTTGCTTGGTTACTGGTTTCATTCAAATTATCGCTTGTTTGCTCAATATTACTTGACGTTTCATTCGTATTTACAGCACTATTCTCGCTCGAATTCACAATCGTTTGATTACTAACCTTGTTTACGTTTCCATGTCCTCGTTTATACTTCTCGATTTTCTTTGTAGCGTTTAATATGCGAGCCACTATCTCCGATGACTCTTCTATTTCGATTTCTATGTCCTTAATTTCGCATAATCCAAGGATTTCTTCGTCCAGTTCGTTAAGTATTTTCAATTTCTCGCTCAGTAACGAATGAATAACTTCGCTTCGATTGATATTTTCTTCGTCTTGAGATTGGATAACCTCTTCCGCTTCCTTTGCTAACTTTGTGCACACGCCACGATGGCCTCCTCGCTTCGCTCGTAAACGGTCAAATTTTTCCTTCGTATTCGCTTCCAAAGACATTTTAAATCGATTATACGGTCTTGGGCTTAATGCCCCACGTTGGGCGCCATGTTATGAATAGTAATTCTGCGATAAATTTGACCTTTTCTTCGATAATATACACACAAAACATTTTATTGTACACAAAATACGAAAAACAATACACTAACTGGCAAAAAATGTTCACGTGATACGTCACAGTGATCAAATTGTTCACGTGCGTTCCAAAGTTGCGTAATCCTTATAATAACAATGAATAATAACAATGAATCTTTATAACAATAACTGGATCAGACTTGTTGGAACAACCTTGTAACAAGTCTGATAATATCAACAAGGTTGTTACAACTGTTAACAAGTTGTTCCAAACTTGTTGACGACTTGGGACAAGCAGTGCGAACACAACTTGTTGACGCCTTGCAACGGTTAGCGCGACTGCATGACTGCTCACGAAAACAATCTGTTTGTACGATTAATTTCGTCTTATGCCAGTATGCGAAAAGAATAATTCCTAATAGCCAGACAGCAGTCGAGTTTAGCGTACATTAGACCATGCTTACATGAGGAGGATGAATTCAGAACTGCACGAGGATACGATAATCCAAGATATTTAGTCGTACACACGTAGAAATCTCACAACTTGTCAATAAGATGTTCGCAACAGGTTTGTAGCAAGCTTGTCAACAAGTTGTAACAATGCTGTTATTTTATCAAGTTGCTATAAGGTTGTCACTCACAACTTGTTGACAAATTGTTGAATTGCAGGACGACAACAAGTTGTTGGGAACAACTTATAACAAGCCTGTTGAGCTCAAAAACCTCGTAGCAAGTTGTGTAACAAGCCGTTGACAACTTGTCAACAAGCTGGGAACAAGCAGTGCGAACACATCCTGTAGAAAAGTTGTCGGAACAGCATTGCAACAAGTCCGCTGTAGGTTTGTTACAACTTGTGCGTTTTTACGTGTTTTTACAAACTCACACAAAGTACAGGTGTCTGAAAGGCATTCAAACTACGAGCACAATTGTATATACAAACACTGCAATCGAGTCCCATCAGTGCAATCATGTTTCATTCCAAAACATGTCAAACTTATACATATACGGACTAAACTACGGTTTTGAATCCTTAGCATGGTACCAGCACAAAAAGTAATTACGCAAATAGCAAGAGTTCCGCGTACCTACGTGGTTGAGACGAAAGAAGCACGAAGTACCAGACCGTAATATTAGAGAGGTTAAGATACCCCGGTTTCGGTGTACAGGTACGAGTAGTGTCATCTTGTTTCACTGATGTCTGTAATTCGATCATACGACATACGTTTTCTGTTTTCTTGCAATAGACAATGATATAATGCGAAAAATGTGCACCTTAATTACGAGTAAAGGTACAGACATCGACGAAAATATTTGCTAACCAAAATCATGCTACCCATACACGTACACGTACACCGAAACCTGGGTATCTTAACCTCTCTATTGGCGTACCTCCGGTACGCAAGTACGCGAATTATTACATCCTGCTGCACTCAAATGTGCATGAGTTTCATTGTTGTGATCACGTCGTATAGGACACATGTGCTGATTGGATGAATTGCAGTACACACGTAAAAACGCACAAGTTGTTACAGGTCTGCAAACAAGTTGTTACAAATCTGTTCACAAGCTGTCAACAAGTTGTGTTCGCACTGCTTGTTCCCAGTTGTTGTAACAAGTTTGGAACAAGCTGTTCACAACGTGTAACAAGCTTGATGGCATTAGCAGACTTGTTACAAGGTTGTTCTAACAAGTCTGATACAGTCATGATATAGCAAGAATGTTACAAGGTTGACGACACAAGGTTGTAACAATATTGTTATATCGTGACTGGATCGGACTTGTTGGAACGTTGCAACGGATCAACGAGGTCGTTACAAGTTGTTAACAGCTTGTTCCAAACTTGTTGCAACAACTGGGAACAAGCAGTGCGAACACAACTTGTCGACGTCCTGCAAGATATGAAATTGTTTATGTACTCTTGTATATACATTCCTCCCTTCCTGCAACGGGGCAGTTGAGACTTGTGTGCTCACGAAAATAATCTGTTTGTACAATTAATTTCGTCCTATGCCAGCATGCGAGAAGAATGACTCCAAAAAAGCTAGACAGCAGTCGAGTTTAGCGTACCTTAGACTATGCTTATATGAGAGGCCAACGCCATGCAATCAAATTTGCATGCGTTTCCTTGTTGCGATCACATAGACAATAGTTTGCTAATAACACAATCAAAAAAGGTAATATGTGAATTTTATGGTAATATGTGAATGTCTTATAACATTTCTTCTAGGACCTTAGCTTCCCAGTGCGAATTGATTTCGTTGGCTAGAGATCTACTGCACAGAGAAAACCAAAGGAGAGAAACTAGCAAACATGCATCCAGCTTGGGTGATAGTACTTTTTATTCACTTTAAGTTACAGCATATGTAAAGTGGTTCATTGATTTCGTTACATAACTGAATGCCTTTAAAGTTCATTATCGAAACTCATTCAGTTATTAAGAAAATTCAGAAGAAATGAGTTCATAAATGTCTTCAACAGTTTCCCCAAGATTTCGTCTTTCCTCAAGATTTCGTCTTGATTTATCCTGCAAAGCCCCCCCCCCCGTGTATAAGCCCAACAGTATTCACTAACGCTCAAGCCCCTTTCCCAGAACATAAGCTCATGCCATGGACTCATTATTAGACAAGTATACACAGCCAGAAATCTCACAGGCCTGTCGCAAGTTGTTGATTTTACCGGCTTGCGGCAAGTTGTCAACAAGTCGCGACAGGTCTGTTGGTTTCTTCAGGCTGTAACAGGCTTGCGGGAACAGGTCTGTCGCAAGCTGTTGACAACAGAGCCGTAGCGACTTGTTGAAACAACCCGCTACAAACATGTTACTAACAAGAGATAACAGGTCTAGCTGATAGAACAACTTGCAGCAAGTCTGTTGAAAGCAACAGGTTGTTACAACTTGTTACAACAGACCTGTTGCGAGTTGTTTTTGTCAAGTCTGCAGCAAGCTTGTTATCAGACCTGCGCCAAACCTGTCCACAATAAACAATTTTTGTCTTGCATGTCACAACAAGTTTCAACAAGCCTGTTGTAGGGAAACAAATAAAAAATGTGAGTAAGGAGAAAAATCGCACAAAATCCACGCTTCCGGCTTCATGCACTTTCCCATTCAATCATTGCCATTGGCAATATTAAATGTTAAGGCCGCAGTTAGGTCCAGTGTAGGTAGTATTCTACAATAAGCTGTCGTGGTTTGTGTCTGAACTACCTGAAAAAGATATCTCAAACGTGGTGGTCCAGTGTAGGTAGTATTCTATAATAAGCTGTCGTGGTTTGTGTCTGAACTACCTGAAAAAGATATCTCAAACGTGGTGGTCCAGTGTAGGTTAGTATTCTACAATAAGCTGTCGTGGTTTGTGTCTGAACTACATGAAAAAGATATCTCAAATGTGGTGGTCCAGTGTAGGTAGTATTCTACAATAAGCTGTCGTGGTTTGTGTCTGAACTACATGAAAAAGATATCTCAAACGTGGTGGTCCAGTGTAGGTAGTATTCTACAATAAGCTGTCGTGGTTTGTGTCTGAACTACCTGTAAAACGTATTTCGTATAATTTAGACAGTTAGATAATTGCCTAATTAGTAAATTGGGGCTTTCTCGAGGTAGGAACAACTGAATTGTAGTACTGGTTAATACTTTACATTATACCCATGATTTCATTTGTTCATACTCCTGGGAAGTACTGAAAATAGTCATGTTTAATGTTGTTGTTGTGTCTATAGAGTTTAGGAGGACCAGATTGGAATAAAGTTGTAACTTTATCTGTTTATCCTCAATAAATAAAGTGTTATTATTATTATCATTATTATTAAAAAGATATCTCATACATGGTGGTCCAGTGTAGGTAGTATTCTATTATAATCTACAATAAGCTTACAACTTTTTTTTACAACTTTTTATTAATTAAACTTATTATTAATTCAAAAATAACTTACCCTGCAAGTAGCTACAGAGCTAGTCGAGGCAAGGCAAGATAAATACAAAAATAATACAATCATATAAGACAAAAGAAAGAAGTATTTATAATTACAGAAATTGTTTATTATTATTTACAAAGAAAACAAAAGCAATTTCAGACTTATGAAGGAAAAATGGAGGAAAATCTAATTATTTATCTGTCGACTATTTTATTTTGAAATGAATTGGTAGCTTTAGAAGCTTTGAATGTACGGAGTTTAATAATTTTTATATAGTTAGTCCTATTTTCTTAATTATCGTGGGGATTTGAATATAGTCATCTTCTTTTTCCAAAATATCAAAAAGTAGTTGCCGAAGAGTCTTTTTAAATAGTTTCTTAGATAGAATCGTTATATGATATGGTATTCCATTCCAAAGTTTAACACCAAATCGAGAGGATTGTTTTTGTATCTCTAACCCAGAATACTGGACGATTTATAAAACAAATTCAATATATTTAATGGTGCATTATTGTTATTTATATCGTACATTAAACCAGACACATGCAGTCTCACAATAAAGAAAGGTAACTGGTAAGATGCAGGTTTGTGTTTGAACTACCTGAAAAAAGATATCTCAAACTTGATGGTCCAGTGTAGGTAGTATTCTACAATAAGCTGTCGTGTTTGTGTCTGAACTACCTGAAAAAGATATCTCAAACGTGGTGATCCAGTGTAGGTAGTATTCTACAATAAGCTGTCGTGGTTTGTGTCTGAACTACCTGAAAAAGATATCTCAAACGTGGTGGTCCAGTGTAGGTAGTATTCTACAATAAGCTGTGGTGGCAATATAACAAATATACTTGCAGGGAGATGAGCACTCCGCCATGCCGGGATTGGACCGCACCGAGCGAAGCGAGGTGGGTTCGGGAAACTTCCAGCCACCCGAGGTGCGTCCAATCCCGGACTCACCGAACCTGCAAGTATGTTTGGTTTTTATCCCATGCCATTTCGGTAAAATGTACTGAAGAATTTACGCATTTTAATATATAATTACTTGTTTGGATAACGAACATTCTAGCCGCCAACATGCTACGCAAACAAACTTAGGCTTAAATTGAAGGCTAAAGAAATTCTCTACAATATTCCCTTATTCTGGTCATAATGAAAATTCGGACAATTAAAGCCCATTAAAAAACACGCTTTAGAAAACATGTTATAATATGAAAAAGAAAATATGAAACTTAACTCTAAAGCATTTTTGTTTATATTAGTCAACCTTTTCGCGCTTTGTATTCGTGGTTTTGTTTTTCGCCTGTTATGCTGTTTTTAAATTCAGCTCAGTGATCTTCTCTTTCATCAACCCATTAAGTTGCATCGCGCCCTAATGTGCCCTACTTCATTATTTTACTCCGTCTAATGCCAGACGATGTTACAATGGGTTAAGTTTGTTTTATCTCTTTATGACTGATGAAAAACAAAACATAGAAAACTGAAATTGAACAGTAAATATATAATATTGACATATTAGTGGTAGTAGTTACTTAATTTTATAATTAGGTGCCATTGCTGTTAATTAGGGACGGACCATTAGAAAAGTGATGGGGGGGGGGGGATTTTCTAAGAGGCAATATATTTTTTTTGTACACCTATAGAAGAAACTTTTTTTTTCTCACTTGATGCTGGAAATATATTTTTTTAAGTGAAATTTATAGGCCTATCTTCCAAGCAAGGAATGTTTTTTGCACTATACCTGGGAAGATTTTTTTTCCTATTTTTTTTCTGGGAATAAATTTTTGGTTTTGCCCCCCCCCCCCTCACTTTTCTAATGGTCCGTCCCTTATATAGAATTATTATATAGCAAGCATGACTCACTTCCGGTGAAATGGCGGACTGCGATTGTCCGAGAAGCAACGAGAAGCACTTTCAGCGGTCCATTATTTTCCTGTAACGGACGGTCCATTACGAAAAACAAACGCATGCATTTTAAAACAAAACAGCAAAACTAATTGAAAATTTTAATTTAATTTGTTATTAATAAGATATCTGGGAATGGTTTTTAGTGGAAAAGAAGGAATACATTGCTATTTTTGTTTTCTTCGACCAAATATATACCACGCTACTAATATGCATTTCAAATCATGCATGCATGGCATTTCTTGTTTGTTTCAAGTATAAATGCCTATATAAATGCCATACAATAAACTTTTTATTAACCTCGATTGCTCGGTATGTACAGAGAAATATCGGACCTCAGTCTTTTTGTACGAACCTCACCCTACGGGCTCGATCTGCACAAAAAAGACCTCGGTCCGACATTTCTTTGTACAGACCTCTCGTTAGGTTAATAAGAAGTTAGTCATTAAGTTATTTTAGGCAAAACTAAATAAACTTTTATAAAAAATTACAAAATTAACTGACTAAAATACCAATTAATATCCTAAATTACCATGCTATTTATCTGTCTGTACAAGAACATGATCTTTTGTTTGGCCGTTATATTTGCAATAGCCAAAATGTTATTAAATTTTGCACTTAATATTTATAGAAATATGATTTCCATTCAGTAGTGTTATTGAGAACAATGTGGTTTGTTCAATTTAATACCGCATCCATGACAAACAAACAAATTCTCCCACTTTTCAATCTCGATAACAACATCAACCCTTTGCATGGTATCTTCAAGAATCTTCTTAAGAGCCCCCACATTATTTTCTTGATTTCTTGATCCCCACTTGCCAAGTACTTCTTTAGCAGTCCCCATTCCTCCCTTTTCTCCATACGTTTTTTCAATACATGCAGCCGTTATTTGGTCGAAGCAACCTAAAGCGCTCACAAGTGGTTGCTTGCTTTTCTCAGCTAAGTCGAGGAGTTTGCAAATTTGTTGAAAACAACCAATTTCGATTTTATCAATGGGCCATTTGTCCCGGTCACTTGAAAGCGGTGTTTCGTCTTTTGAATCACAAGAACTACACATAGGGCTTTCTTTCGACGACTTCTTGCTTTCCTGTGTTGGTTTTTGTGAACCAATTGTGTCTATAATAAAAGACAAGATAGAATTTCCTTCAGAAATTTTTTTATTTTAAAAGGTTGATAAACCACAAGGTCTCAGAAGCGGCCCGAGGCCGAGGGAACATATCTTTTAGTACGGACCGACCTAAACTGTGAATAACGTGCTTACTTTTTACCTCGGGTCGGTATGACACAGAGGTCATAAATTCGGCTCCTATTTTTTTTTCCATTTTGTGTCGAGCCGCACGCGTAGTCGAAGAGCCTGCGGAGGAGACGACAACTTCCGGTAAATAAGTGTACTTCCGGTGTGACGCGAAATTCCTGACTTGCGAAATATCTGACTATTGTAGAACTGCCCATGCGCAGACGATGCGCATGAATGACTTTGGCTCATAAATTTCGCAACTGAACAGACAACACGTGTATTTATAAAGCCATTTTATTTATACATAAATTTTCCAACATTAATTCTACTACTGATCAACTGAATTGACACTATACCACTGATTGTGAACGTTATAATAAACCTTGAATCGTTGATATGGAAAAATCACTCGAAAGATATAAAATAGACTCCAGTTTCAAAGGTTATGCCGTATATGCATTACTATACTATAAGCACTAAAAATCGGTTCGCGTTTGACCTTCTCACTATTTAGTAAGCAGCAACGATGAGTTCGAAGTTCATGAGTTGGTCGTTTAGATTTGGCGATGTCTATGCTATAGAAACATTTGGTAACATCGCATATGGATTAAAAATCGTTTCGACCGACCGTATTTAGCAAACGTCGTGTATTTCGCGGTCACGATCGACCACACAATTCGCTTTGAAATTTAAAGTGTTTGTGATTGAAACTTAGCGATGTCGATTTGAAATATTTAATTAACGAAGTATTAGAAATTAACATCATGATTATTTTATCTAAACTCTAAAAAACAGTTTTGGCCGACTTAGAATTTAGCAAGCGTCATGTATTTCGCGCCTGTACGCGCGAAATTTCTGACCCGTCACGCTAGGTCAGGTATTTAGCAGAGGTCAGGAATTTCGCTTGACACCGGGAAATTTCAAGCATCGGCCAAAGCGAAACGGAACCCGAAGCTGTCCTTGCACAAAATCCGTCAAAATTGTTGATTTAAAACCAGAAGATGTGATAATTTTGACATACATGTTTAGCTGGATAACTAAGTATATGTTGATATAATGTACAATATTTCGTATGCATAGCATGGGAATACCGCGGCCAACTTTCACTTGTTTGATACTGCTAAGCATTTTATGGATGGATCTTACTGTAACTGGTAGACAACAATTTTTCCAACTGTTCACTCATTACATTCTTCGACTGTGGTACAACTATTACTAATGATGGATCAGTTATATGCACCTAATTATATTTTCGGTACTTTGATATATTTTAAAAATATCTGAAGTGACTGTCGTTCTGCTATGTGCAATCAACAAATAGACTGATAATATTGTCTGTTAGTATTACTAAATACAAGATGAAGTAGTGAAGTAGCTATGTATATCATTCACTCGTCCACAAAATATCCCAAATAATGAATAAATACAGTTAAATAATTGCGTCAGTAAATTCTCTAAATTGTTCCTGTATTTAACTATTATGAATACAATGTTAAAACGGAGCTTTGATTGACTGATTCACCATTTATATTAGTGAACTATTAAACTATCGTGATTTACACGATTTTTGCATATTTACCAGACGATGCCCTATCCACCGCCCCGATGTTAACGCCGAGCGGGCGTCTTGTTTATTTGATGGTTCATGCTTATAACGAAATTCAGAAAAAATTCCTGTTGCGAAGTACATTTGAGATCAGTTGCGTTTGTTACTTTAGTGCAAACATGGTTGACAAACTATTAAAACTACGAGCTGTGTTCTACCATAGCTGCATCAGGCACTTGAAAAACTAACGAAACAATTACCTGAGCTTGAAGCTTCACTTGAGGTTTCATTTGGCCATCTAAAGTTCGAGTTGTCTTCTACCATAGCTGTATCAGGCACTTGAAAAATGGATGAAACAATTATACATAGGGGATATAAGGCTGCGCGAATTAAGATATAGACTTTGATTTCGCGTTGAGTTTGACGTCTGCGTTGCTTGATCGCGGAAATCACATATAGGAAATCACATGATATAGTTAGTCATTATATAAGATTCACTTTATTCCTTGGCAACAAGCCAACCTGTACCTGTGTAGGTTGGTTCATCGTCATCTTTGTTTTTCAAAACAATCATACCGACAGATTTACCACGCTTTTCCAGTCTTCCAACTTTGTTGGCTTTTTTTGTTATAAAAGGAAAAAAACAAAAAATGAAGATTTTGATAGTTGCCTATAGCAAAGTTATGGTACTAATAATTATAACAACAATAACAATAAAGATGAGGACAGGGAAGATGGCTGTCAAAGGGAAGATGGCTGTGAAACTCATTAGAATATCAATATAGTTCATTATCTATGTTAGTCAACGTTTATTCATAAATCTGGTCCCTCACCGTCACGTGTGTATTGTATTTTTGCCCAACTAACCAATAGTAAATTCCAATTACCCTATTGTTCGAGTCACGGGTAGGTATAACTTCCCTAAAACATTGCTATTGGTGGATTTGGCAAAAATACAATACACACGTGACGGTGAAGGACCAGATTTATGAATAAACGTTGACTAACATAGATAACGAGTTATATTGTTATTCTAATGAGTTTCACAGCCATCCCCCCTTCGATAGGCTATGGGATGACAGAGTGCGATAATTCACGTACTTACGTACCGGAAGTACCCCAATATATACGGTCTGGTACTTCTTTGTTTTCAACCATTACATGTAGGTACGCGGAACTAATAATTTCCTGGCGGAGGTAATAATAGTGATGATTATTATATCAAGTGATTCATACCGTTCATAGATCCTTTGCGATACGAGTCTCCTGTCAATTGAGAACCTGTGAATAATTCAAAAATTCCATATTACAACAAAAACATGCGTAGAAAATTTAGATACAGTGTACATGAGGAAAAAATTATCTACAATGCTTATAACTAAAACTTCCTATCGACTGTAACCAAGACAGGCAAACTGATATAGGTTCGCTTGATACCTCTTCAAAAAGCCATAGAAATAACGCAACAGCTTAAAGTCCTGAAAACTAAAGCTTAGGTACTACCAGCTTTTATGAATTATATTCAATACACACGGTACCTATACAAAGTGTGCACAGAAATATATGGTCTTCCAGAACGGATACGTAAATTGCAAACTAATGTATAGTCAAAGTCTAACCGTAATCAAACAATTACCTGAGCTTGAAGCTTCACTTGAGGTTTCATTTGGCATTCCAAAGTTCGGGATGTCCTCTACCATGGCTGCATCAGGCACTTGAAACAATTAAACATAGGGGATATAAGGCTGTGAGAATTCAGATATGGACTTCGATTTCGAGTAGTGCAAATAACACTTTATGAATAAGCATAGCGAATGAGTAAATTATTGTTTTCACCACAAGAATATAAAACCATGTATCAGTTAATAAAACAAACAGAAAACAAAACAGCACTCATTCTGGCCGGTTTGTCTGCATCGACATCTTCACTAGTAAAAACATCACAAAATTTCTCACTGATATTCCGTGATGTCTTTAAGAGTTCGTATAAGCTTATCAGAAGATGCACTCAGAAATTATCAACTATAATCAGATTGCAGCAATTTAGCCTGATAAAAAAAAGATATCACTATAACATTAAAAAATATACAACTCATATTTAATAATTAGACAACTTATCTACTCGTTAAATATGATTCAAAAACTCATTAATAATTCATGAGGAAACACAAAGAAAAATCATAAGCATGTCGTATCTTCATATGTGATAGAGATTTCCCTTGATTTACTTAAACTTTAACTTTGATTTCCTCGACTTACACAACGTAGTTTTTAAAAATTGCTGCGCCAATGAACTTACAAGACCGATCGTTTTTGAAGCAATTTAAAACATTCGCAGTGTGTGTTTCATCAAAGCTGAAGTCTGATAAAACACTGCTGCTCATGTTTTAAACAGTACTTAAAAAATACATTTCTACAAAAAATACATGTCAACTAAACATTTCAAAATTCGCAAAGTAACAACTCCTTCAGTATTAGCCACTCACCAGTATTGAGCCAAATTTTTACACTCTGTATGTCAAACACCTTGGACGGGCGTTTGTCCGACCGGCAAACTGCAGGGGATTTATCGTTGTAGAATCTCTGAAGGTCACTAAGCTTCCAGAAGTGGCGGTGCCCACAACGGTCTGAATCACACTGGATCTCATGATGACGAGAGCATTTTCTTTCTTCTTTACCAAAACAGCAGGTACATTCCACTTCGAGGTCATAGCTGGTCATGCTGAATAATAGTTGATCTGGAGATTTAAGGTCGTCCAAGCACGTTTTCAGAGTGGCTAAGAGATGACTGGCAAACTCGAAATGGTTGCCATCATGTTTTGCAAAAACGGCAATCTTAATGAACTCGTGGAGGTTGATTAAACAAACATCATACACGTCCCCGTCCATGATAAGCGGAAACAAGGAGTAGTTGCAATAGAAAGAAGGCGTGGCTTGTTGATTGGGGAAGCGCTTTTCCCACTCAGAAATTAACCTCACTTGAAGCTTCGTAAACAGGCCCATCGGTACAAGTTGGCGAGGAAATGTTACAAACAGCGATGGAACATTGCTAGCTTCCAACTCTTCTCCTGGTATCATAGTTGGAGCAACTGAAGGGACATAAAAAGCTGCCTTCCCCTCGTGCTGGCAAGAACAAATCAAATTAAACTTTTGCATCAGCTCTTCCAAAAGTTCTGCGTCTTCCAGCTTCTGAAGATATTCTCGAAACAAAATGCCTTTCTGCCTGAACACATCAAGAGCGTGCCTGGACAATGCATCCAATTTGACAGGCATGGAGATCACTTTCGTAAAGCGATTCATCAGCCAGTGAGGATCCAATACAACCTTGCTGGATCCACTGTGGTGTACGACCACACCTTGGCGGTGTAGAAATTTGATAGCTTGACCAAACTCCTCAATGTCACAGGCCTCCGCTTCCCGCTTAGCTTCGTCAATTGGGATATACTTGCAATCTGGTGAAAGCTTCTGGCTTAGAGCAACTTCAAAATCTAGCCACTTCACAGGCATTAAAATCTCCTGGTTAAGGACTGCATTTGAGAAGTCAAAAAGCTTTCTACGAAGCTCTCGCACGTCGTCTCCGTCGTCGCCTTCCAATGTATTGTCGATCAGGAAAACCCCAGGAATGACATTCTGATATTTTCCTCCAGACAAGACCTTCTTGATTCTATTTCGTACGCTATCTATTTTCCTGTCGTTGCCTTTCACCTTATCATTGTGAGTTAAAGCTATTAAAACTGGTGGCAGTTTAAAGTTCTCGCCTTTTGCAGTGGTATAGTGACCAGATTTATCAGGAAACTGTTGATCTTGGCATTCTCCTAAACCTTGCAGAAACTTCAACCATGATGTAAAATTATCTAAATTGGTATTAAGATGAGGATTGTTCATCTCTATCTCTTCCTCTTCCTCACTTACTTTAAACCTGGGAACGGCGGGTTTATCAAACTCCAGAGAAAGGTCGAAAACCAAAACGTAAGGGCAATGCGGTTTCACAAAGCAGCCATGGGTATCGTAATAGATTGACTGTCCAGCAAAGTCACTTACAAATACCCGAAGAACTTCTTTCTGGTCGTGTTTAGTGGTCAAAATATTAGCCTGCGATTTGATTTCTGAAATTTCTTCACTTAATAATTTTCTTCTCTTCGCTGGCTTCACTGGTTCTGGCGCATCCCCTTCAATATACCCCTGAACTCCGCTATCAATATTGTCAAGGTTTTCTAAAATAAGCAGAAACTTTGCTCTATTAAGATTCTTAGCAGTTTTTTTGTATAACACCTTCTTTGCCTCACTTTCACTGGTCATAAACTTCTTCACTTCTCTTTTTTTCCAGGGATCTTCCGCATTTTGTTCTGATAGCTCGATAACATTAACGTCAATGCCAGTGGTACTGGGTTGATCTTTGTTGAATGGTAATCCCAAAAGACGTCTCATCAGCGACGTCTTTCCGCCTCGGTCTTGCCCGACCAGCATAATCGGAATTCGATTATTCTTTGCTTTACCTTCTTGGAGAGCTATCGAATATGCACGCCTATATTCTTTCTCTTCTAGACAAAATAAAGTTAAAACAAGATTTAACGCTGTGTAAAACACGATCAAAATCTGACGAGAAAATCTTATTTACAACAATATATTCTTGTGAACAGAACAAAATACTTATAGCCTGCCTAAACTAGCCAGCCTGAGCCATTGCTTTTGTATGGAAAATTTCCCAGCCTGAGCACTATGCTGAGCACCCTTAAATCAGACTAGCTTGGGTACCTGGGCTAGCTCGTCTGATCTCTCATAAGAGCATTTGATATGTTTTAATCTGATCATGCAGCCAAACGCATCTCCAATTACACAGTACAACTCAAGTTGTAAGCATATTGCATGCAACAGTTTTAAGCCACGAATATATGGTTGTAACAGTCATAAAAGATAAAGTTACGATCTTTCTCATCAGCCAGACTATAATGAGGGTCCTGAAAGGGGGGGGGGGGTCGTATTCCCATTTCCCAGCCCAAATTTTGACTAAATCCCATTGTCCCAGAGCAGACATCCCATCATCTCAGTGGCTGTCCTGCTCAAATCTTAATCCCATTCCCATTTTCTATTGTTTTTTTGCTGATGAATCCCAGTCCCAGTGCATGAAATCCCATTTTCCCACCCAAAAATAAGCAAATCCCAGTTCCCATTTTACCCCTTCAGGACCCTCTATAATAGTTTTTACCTGTAAACCACATTTAAATCATAAATATTTTGTATATATTATCACTCTGCCTGTTTTCAGTTGTATTTCGGCTGTTGAAAAAGATCGTGACTCAATCTTTACGATCGTTACGACCATATGGAAACCAGGCGTTGGGCAAAAGTTGTGTAGTGTAAATTGACCTTCAGACAAATAATGCATCACCCAAAAATTTTAGTTACACACTTGACTTTAGTTAACTTAATTCACATAAAATTGAAAGACCTTTATTGGACGTCTATTGATTGTCCATTCTTAGCAGGATAAAAGCAGAAACAAACAAAAAAACAACAGCTAAAGTCTCATTGCACAACATGCTTAATTGTTTACTTCCCAGGTTGGAGTGGACCTATAATCTAATGCGAGCTGCGAGCAAATTTAGCCAAAGCCAATCAAACCCTAACACAACGTTAAATATGTATTTTAGTCTAGAAAAAATTTGATATGAAGAACATTCCATCATTGGATATTTGATTTCATTTAATTTATCTTTAATATTCAATATTCAAAATTACTGTGAAAAATGGCTTTCAGCTATATATATAGCTAGGGCTTGTATAAAATGAAATAGAATATCCACCAAATGGTCCTCTATAAAGCGTTCTCCGCCTCTACCAAGCGCCCTGCCACCCTGCCTTAAACCATCTCTCTGTATGTTCATTGTAGATTTGTAGTTCCATAACTATTATTTCAAAAGGATTACAGTAAGGTAACGGGACCTCTTAGTGCAAGTCGCCTGTTGTTAATTGGCCTCTTTTATTTTTTCTAGTGCAAGTCGCCTGCTGTTAATTGGCTCATTTTATTTATTTTTTTAGCTTGAAAAAATTGAACCATCGGGAAAAGTATGACCACGCTAAAAACTACATTAAAAATGATAAAAAATCTTTAAGAATTAGTATTTGTCCATGAGATAAAATTGTTTTTGTTTATCTGTCCATAGAAACACCACCTAAACTAAAGGTTAAACTGCATTGTTATCAAAAGTTCCGATTTCGTTAAGTATTTCAATGTTGTTGATGTCATAGTTCACTTCTTGCTTAATTGTTCTAGATCCTCTTAAGCACAATACTGCAGATCTTAGTATATTAAAAGACAGTTTTGCTCTCAGCTAATACATTACCATGCTGTGTTCGACCTGCTTCCTCCCCGACAATTTCAACGCAAGTTCTGCAAGAAATCGCTCAGTTTCTCTACTATTTCCCCCATAAGGCGTGAAGATCAATGGAGTAAAGGAACCATGCTCAACGTCTAACACGCGTTGATTATATTGTATTAAAATATAGTCGAATGTCCTCAGCATGACGACGGTAGAATTTAATGCCGGACTTATATATAATTTTATTATATAGTAGAGAGTGAGATACTGAAAAGAGAGTGAGATATCTTCACTAGTGAAGATATCGATCACGTGATTTTTTCCAATTTGCTTTTGAGAACATTACACCGTGGCTTGAAGATATGACTGTTATCTTCTCGTGTTTTCTCCTCGTAGGACGTTTAATGCAGTTGTGTGAATTCTTATTTATTTCCTTTCTTTTATCCTGTTGTTCGTTTGTCGTTATAATGCCACGGGCATGGCGGAGGGATTGGTAATCCTAAAAGACTTCTCATCAGCGAAGTCTTTCCGCCTCAGCCTTGCCCGATCAGGATAATCGGAATTAGATTATTTTTTGCTTTACCTTTTAAGAGAGCTTCCTCTCGACGTCTTTGCTCTCCATACTCTTGAGAAAATAAAGTTAACACAAAATTTAGCACTACGTGAAATGAAATATAATATCCACCAAATGGCCCTCTATAAAAAGTCCCCCCACCTACCAAAAGCCGTGCCCTAACGTCTAAGAATATTTTTTTAAGTTTTTAGAACAAAAATTTCGAATTATTACCTACTATTTTAGGAGGATTACGCCCGTATTCTAAAAGCTCACTCACACTCAATGAGTCTCCGGAGGTTCAATCTGAGCTTCTCTTGAGTGTCAATGCTGGTTTTGAATAGCTGGAGGGTGAGCAGTCACATAGTAAGGTACGACACTAACCCTCCAGGTATTCAAAAGCAGCATTCACACTCAAGAGAAGCTCAGATTGAACCTCCACTCATTGAGTGTGAGTGAGCTTTTAGAATACGGGCGTTATTAATCTTTACGACCGTCACGACCCTAAGGAAACCAGGCTTTGGGCAAAAGTTGTGTTGTGTAAATTGGCCTTCAACACATGATGCAACAAAAACCATGACCAGCCGACAATTTAAAAAAATAAAGTAAAAAACAAATTCGGAAAATACAAGACATCTTGAGAATTCAATATATAATTCAAAACAAGACGCAGTTTGAGACTGTAAATTTTCGACTTTATTTCAAAGGCATCTTCAGACAGAATGAAATACAATACTTTACAACACATATATATATATATATATATATATACAACGCAGAGAGAGAGAGAGAGAGAGAGAGAGCGTGTCTTGGAATGGTTATCCTAATGGCGTTAGAAACTTTTTGATTAAAAAGCTTAAAACCAAATTTATTGATAGCTCTACTTCCGATGCCGTTAATCATGACACGGATGATGATATGTTGCCTATAATTTGGATTCGTATTCCTTATCTCGGAAACCGTGGCGATTTTCTTTTAAAATCATGTCTTAATAAAATACAAAGATTTCTTTCTAAACCGGTTAAGTTCATCACTATTTATGACACTAAAAAGCCCTCTTATTTTGTTTCCAACAAAGATAAACTTCCTTCTTTATCTCGTAGTAATCTTGTATACGAGGTCGCTTGCCCTGGTTGTGGCAAAACCTATATATTGGCAGGACACAAAGATGCCTTTCTGTATGTTTGAAAGAGCATGCAACTAGGCGCTCTTCTAGTGCAGTGGGCCAACATTTTTCTGAGTGTGAACATGCTCAATTCTTAGCTACCTTACAAGACCAGTTCACATTACTCAACGATCTTCCTTCGCCTTCTGACAACTCTTCTCCTATTGAAAACCTTGTTTTCAACAGCTATACAGAATACTTCACATTACAAAATCTAACAACTACAACATTCTTGCTTTTCTTGAAGCACTGCTTATCAAACCTTTTGTTAACACTGGACTTAAAGCTAGTAAAGAACTACAACTGTTCACATAACACTTTAACTTAATCTTCTTCTACTTGTCGGGTCTTTCCTTTCAATCTTATTCCTTTTAATATATTAAACATTGTTGTAAATATAGCTAAATATTCCATTTTCAGTTATTACTATTTTCTTTATCATGCTTCGCTTCGCTTGGATAATCCTTCTTTCCGCCCACATGACAGATGCTCTCTCTCTCTCTGCGTTGTATATATACTGTATATATGTGTTGTAAAGTATTGTATTTCATTCTGTCTGAAGATGACTTTGAAATAAAGTCGAAAATTTACAGTCTCAAACTGCGTCTTGTTTTGAATTATATATTGAATTCTCAAGATGTCCTGTATTTTCAGAAATTGTTTTTTACTTTTAATACATGATGCAACATGCAAAAATTTCAGTTATACACTTGACTTTAGCTTAATTCACATAAAATTGAAAGAAAATTGATTTATTGGACGTCTACTGATTGTCCATTCTTAGCAGGATAAAAGCAGAAACAAAGCAAAAAGCAACAGCTAAAGTCTCATTGCGCAACATGCTTAATTGTTTACTTCCCAGGAGTGGGAAACTTGCATCAAATTCCTAGGCGTAGCTGCGAGTGATCTGGATTGATCAGTTGCGAGCTGCGAGTGGACCTATATATAATCTGATGCGAGCTGCGAGCAAATTTAACCAAAGCCAATCAAACCCTAACACAACGTTAAATATGTATTTTAGTGTAGAAAAAATTTGATATGAAGAATATTCCATCATTGGATATTTGATTTCATTTAATTTATCTTTAATATTCAATATTCAAAATTACTGTGAAAAATTGCTTTCAGCTATATATAGCTAGGGCTTGTATAAAATGAAATATAACATCCATCAAATGGTCCTCTATAAAGCGTTCCCCGTCTCTATACGAAGCGCCCTGCCCTAAACGTGTAAGAATTTTGCTTAAACCATCACTCTGTACGTTCATTGTAAATTTGTAGTTCCATAACTATTATTTCAAAAGGATTAAAGTCACGGGACCTCTTAGTGCAAATCGCCTGTTGTTAATTGGTTCCTTTTATTTTTTTATTAGCCTGAAATAAATTTTGTGTAGATGACATCATCAGGTTGTTTTGTACAAGCCTCATATATACAGGCCCAGTGTGCACAGATTAAAGTACTTTTCCATCGGACCTCCAAAAATATGCACCAACACCACTTTATTCAACAAATAGATTTCGAAAATTACTCCTGCACGCCCTGGAAAGGCTTTCCTTTTGCTAGAAGAAAATCTCTTATAAAGAAGCTAAAACGTAAACATTTTTCGAATGCTGATCGGATTTTTACGGAAAACATCAATGCGGGACTCGCATATTTTAAAATCAAGAAATGTATTGAACCATCGGGAAAGGTTTAAAATTATACTGAATGTCCTCAGTATGACGACGGTAGAATTTAATGCCGGACTTATATATAATTTTATTATATAGTAGAGAGTGAGATACTGAAAAATACACAGTGAGATATTTTCCATATCTTCACTAGTGAAGATATCGATCACGTAACTTTTAGTATTTATACAATTTTTTGCTTGGAACTATATAATAAACAGAACATTACACGGTGGCTTGAAGATATGACTTTTATCTTCTCGTGTTAAAAACAATATTTTACTCACTCGCTGCGCTCCTCGTAAAATATTGTTTCCTTTAATGGTAATCCTATAAAAGACGTCTCATCTGCGAAGACTTTCCGTCTCGGCCTTGCCAGATCAGCATAATCGGAATTGATTTATTTTTTGGTTTACCTTTTACGAGAGTTTCAACACGTCTTTGCTGTTCAATATCTCGACAAAATAAAGTTAAAAAAAGATTTAGCACCACGTAAAATGAAATATAACCTCCACCAAATGGCCCTCTATAAAGCGTTCTCCCTCTACCAAGCGCCCTGCCCTAAACGTGTAAGAATTTCTTTTAAAGTTTTTAAAACAAAAAATATGATTTTTTGCTTAAAACTTCACTATACAGTACCGACTATTTTAAGAAGACTAAGGTCACGTGACCTCTTAGTGCGACTAGTCGCCTATTGTTAATTGGCCTCATTTATTTTATTTTATTAATGTAATTATAAATTTCACGTGGAGATCTGTTGTAATTCTCTTGCCCAGATAGGGTAGCCTGAACTAAATTTTGGGTAGATATCATCAGGTTGTTTTGTACAAGCCAAACTAAAAGGCCTAGTGGCAGTGCACACACTATACGAGTTTCGAACCCTGGAAACGTAAGACTGCACAGATTAACGTACTTTTCCATCGCACCTCCGAAAATATGCACCAACACCACTTTATTCAACAAAGTGATTTCGAAAATTACTCCTGCATGTCCTAGAAAGGCTTTCCTGCTGCTAGAAGAAAATCGCTCATAAAGAAGCTAAAACGTAAATATTCTTCGAATGTTGATCGGGTTTTTACGGAAAACGTCAATGCGGGACTCGCAAATTTTAAAATCAAGAAATGTATTAAACCATCGGAAAAAAGTATCAACCGTGGGTTTAAAATATGGTCGAGTGTCCTCAGCACGACAACGGTAACATTTAATAATGCTGGACTTATATATAATTATATCAGCAAATATTGAGCATAAAATATATAAAGAAGAACCAATAGAGACGTCGTCTTTCTTCTCGTAGGATGTTTAATGCAGTTGTGTGAATTCTTATTTATTCCCTTTCTTTTATCCTGTTGTCCGTTTGCCGTTATAATGCCACGGGCATGGCGGAGGGATTTAATGGTAATCCTATAGACGTTTGATCAGAGAAGACTTTCCGCCTCGGCCTTGCCCAATCAGCATCATCAGAATTCGATTATTTTTTGCTTTACCTTTTTCGAGAGCTTCCAAACGACGTATGGCCTCGTCCTTATCTTGACAAAATAAAGTTAAAACAAGATTTAGCACTACGTAAAATGAAATATAACCTCCATCAAATGACCCTCTATAAAGCGTCCCCCCTCTACCAAGCGCCCTACCCTAAACGTGTAAGATATTTTTTGAAGTTACAACATCACTCTGTATGTTCATTGTAGATTTGTAGTTCCATACCTACTATTTTAAAAGGATTAAGGTTACGTGACCTCTTAGTGCAAGTTGCCTATCGTTAATTGGCCCTTTTACTTTATTAGACACTAGAAGCGGCCGAGCCAGCCCGGGTCATTGCGTTTGTATGGAAAATTCCCAAGCCTGGGCACCGTAGATCTCGGGTCAGTCGAGGCGGGATCTCGCTTAGGCTAGCCAGCTCGGTTCCCATATAAACGTCAAATGAAATTTAATAGGACATAAGGCCACATAAAAAATTACTTGTTTAGCGTCCCCGCCCGACCTGATAAAAGTCCCCGACCTCCGATTTTTAAATTTTTTTTTTTAAATCCGTCCGAGTTTAGTGCAAAAACTCTCTATAAAATAGACCGTTTTACTTGAAAAAATGGTGATTTTACTCTTCTGGGAGCTATGTAATACGTTTACACAACAGGTGGGAAATTTGTCTGAGCATGCGCGAGCAAAATGAGTCACGCAATTGAGTGGAATACACGCAACGCGTGTTTACAAAAAGGCAGAATCGTGTAAATATTGCCAAATGTTTGTACCGAATAAATGACTGTTTTATGTTGAAAATGGACATGATCTAAATTAATCATACAGAATTTTTTAGTGACGTTCTATTTCAGTACCTGCCATTGTCTCTGGTGGGCTGTCCATGTGCATTCGATCTGAAACAGTTGCTACTTTGCTGTCGAAGAATTTCGAATGTTTACATGAAAATAGAGGCAAGTCATGCATTTTACAACCTCTCAAACTGTATGAGCCCCTATTTTTACGCTTATACCTTAGATATCAAATAAAAGTACATGAAACAGAGAACATTTGTAGAAAGTTTTATCGTGAGGCCACGGCCAGTTTTTAAAATATCTTTATTTCTGTTCCGGTCATCACCAAAATTACACAAAAGCCGGACTTGAATATACAACAAATTTTGAATCTCATCAAGCACAAAAATACTTAACGTGTAACCAAAATATGCTCATGAAATCGAAATTAATAGCTAAATTTTCAAACTAGACCCTTCTTGAAGCGGTTTTCATGAAGGAAGTTCACATTTCGGCCTTTGATTCTTGGCAAAAATTTGACCACAACACGTGCGAAGCAACTGGGTCTCAAAGACTGAACTAAAACATTGTGAGCCCCTATTTTCCTGACGATATGTTTGATACCTACAAACGCCGAAAAGTTTTTCTTTTCATTTAGCTATATTTGAAATTGAGGCCACGGGCTATTTTTGAGAAAATACAGTTCAAAGTCAAGCTATTTTTACATATTTTCAAAATTTGTCAAATTTCGCGAGCTTGTATTTTGAACTTAAACAGCTGAAGTTACATTAAGAAACATAGAATGGAAAATTTGAGGTATATAAAGTTAATTTCAACTTACATTTCATTCTCAAATCACGTCTTTCTTCGTTTATTACGGTTTTAAACAAGCCATAGATCGACGTATACGGTATTTACTCCCATGTTCACGTCGCCATATTAACTTCTTCCAATCACTCGATTACAAAACAAATCATCCCAAAACAAAGAATTCATAGTCGACTTTTAAAAGAATAACCGTTAATTTGTAAATCGTTGAATGGAAAGCAAAAAATCGTCAGCTAAAACAGCTTCTTGCTAACTTTCTGCTTTGTTTTGAATGTAAATGCAATGAGCTTTGTTTCTGCCCGCAATTTTTTGGTCAGCGACGACAAATTTCCCACCTGTTGTCATGCAGTCGTAATAATGCAAACTTTAAATTGGACCAATCAGTGTCCGCTATTCATGACAGTCCGCCATATTTTTGAGATCAGTGAGGATGACCACTCACGCACAGTGACCCACGCCCGCGATATTTGATGAACTTTAGACTTCGCTAATGCAATTCTTTTCCCCGGGTGTAAATAGCCGGGGGAATTAGAACCCTCGCACGGCGCTTGCGCCGTCGGCTCGGGGATAAACCGTCATACCTTGTACAAACGTCGGTTGACATGCTATTACGTATAACTGATGGTAAGTTAATATGTGCAGACAACCATGGGAAGATTCA